TTGCTTCCCGTTGTCAGCACTTGTCTTCGCCTTCTCTTCTTTCTTTTCGTCACATTCGTTCTTCACCTCGGCTTTAACCTCGTCGAAGCTCAAGTGATCAAAATCGTATTCAGCGTCACGTTCGTTGAAACCAGGAACATGTACCGCATTGCGATGAGTTGATACCGAAACGTCAACCAATTCATCAACAGACACTGGCTCCTGTTTGATCTCGAATACATCAACCGAATGAATGTTGTTCGGAGTCACAGACGCTGATTCCAGTGGCTCATCAGGGAAGACCCGTTGTATGTATGATCATGTGCTTCTTGAGCTGATAGTTTTGAGAGAATTTTCGTGGGCATTCTTTGCACTGGAATGGGGTTTCACCAGAGTGAATGCGCATATGATTAATCAAATTGGACTTTTTCAAACCAATTGATTTTCCGCAAACAAAGCATTCATATACACGGCGAATACACTGCTCTTCATGCGAATCTCTTTCATCTTGATGTAAGAATCTTTCGTGACATTTTGAACAGCGGAATGGACGTGGACCGGCATGAATCTTCAAGTGTTTGTTTAAATTGTATTTCTGTACGAACTTCTTCGAACATTCTTCACATTCAAAGGGTTGGTCACCACTGTGTACTCGCATGTGATTCACCATATTTGCCTTAAGTGAACCAATCGATTCCTTGCACAAATGACATTCGTAGCGACGAATTTTGCAATTAGTTTCGTGCTCTGTCTTGTCTTTCCTTCCATCAAACCCTTGCAAACAGCCCGGACAATTAAACAGAAACTCTTCGACGTGAGCTTTCATGTGACTACGAAGATTTTGTTTGGTTGTGAACCGTTTCGAGCAGAAGGTGCATCCGTTTGGCTTCTCGCCGGTGTGTTTCAACAAGTGCCGATTCAAATGACCTTTATAATCGGTCGAATATACACAAACGTCACATTTATGCTTCTTCAATACAGTTTTCGGAACACCAACTTTGCCACACGATTCCTTGTTCTTGGCACCGTGGCCTCTTCCTGGCTGCGTGGAAACGTTTTCATCTGGTCGTGATGGCCGCTGAAGATCACGTTGATTTGCCATCGCATCACCGCCTAATTCATCGTTCGTCTTCGATTCCTTTT